GCCCGGGCTGGATTCGAACCCGCCACCTTGGGTGTATGTGGCTGGCGCCTTAGCCGCTTGAGCCACAGGCGCCGAGCTCTCACAGTCACTTATTACTGCAAACCCCAAAAGTTCATCAAACTTTTCCTGAGATAAAAAACAGTATTTAGCTCATTATCAGACAGATGGCTAAATCGGTTTGGGTCACGCTGCATTTATCATCACTGAAAAGGCCAAGAAAAAACTGTGGGCAAATGTGCAGCGTTCTCTTTGGGCTTCCCCAGACCAAAGCCAAGGAGGCAACAAGTACAACAGCAGCTACGTGATCCACATGAAAGTAAATTGTAATTGTAAAGGTGAAATAAACAAGAACTCAATCAGTGTAAACACCTCCACCAGATGTATTCTTATACTCCTGAAAGCTCTCTAGAGGATTCAAAGTCTACAGTCTCTTAACATATCAATTCAATTAATTCTAAAAATGGCAGAGGTTAAAAAATTTTCTTCATTTTGTTTAACCAGAAAACACATCCCCAATATGGTATTTACTTCAGAACAAAAACTTAAACAGCTCTCATTTTCATTCCTAGGTTAAAAGGATTTCTATTCTGTAAGAGTTGATAGACCATCTTTCTGTGACATTTATTTATTTTCTCTGTTCTCTCTCAAATGATCCACAAGTTTAACATGTAGTAATTAAACCAAGACTCTGTTGACCTAAAGAATGAAAAACTATGGCTTGCCTATTCTATAAACTAATGCAGGCACATCTTACAAAACCCTGTTTTAGCCACTTTAGCCTCACCTTTGCCTGTGGTCAACCATGACAAGTTATGTCATTTTACTCCATGTGATGCTACCACTAGACTTTGTTTATTTTCAGTAATAACAATTAAAAGGATGTAAAGGCAATTAATAGACTAATGAACTATGTGTTCTGTAGGAATATGTATTTTACGTCAATACTATTAAAATCTGATCATGTTTTAAGATTAAGAGCTCAATTTTTACAATATGATAATTCTGTAAGTAATCTTATCTGCCAAATGTATTATTCTGTATTTTGCTACTATGTACTTCCAGATATAGGCCAACAATGCTATGCTCAATTGTACTTAAAAATATGTACTTTAAGTTGTTTTCTTTCTTTTTTTTTTTTATTTAGAGACAGAGTCTCACTTTGTCATCCTTGGTAGAGTGCTGTGACATTACAGCTCACAGCAACCTCCAACTCTTGGGCTTAGGTGATTCTCTTGCCTCAGTCTCTTAAGTAGCTGAGACTACAGGCACCCACAACAACACCCAGCTATTTTTTTGTTGCAGTTTGGCTGGGGCTAGGTTCGAATGAGCACCCTCGGTATATGGGGCCAGCGCCCTACTCAGCCACAGGCACCGCCTTAGGTCATTTTCATAGAAAACACTGAACTTATGATTTAAAAGGACCAAACCTTTTGTTTTCTTTCTTTGGGCTTCTTTTTCTTTGGTGATGTTGGTCCATCTTTTTCTTCATTTACTTTTTTCCTTTCCTTTTTAATCTGTTTTTGCTTCTGTTTCTCAGATTCTTCTTCTTCATCTGAGCTGCTTTCTGCTTTCTTACTTTTATTCTTAGGAACTTTCTTTGGTGGCTGCAGATTAATTCCTGCATCTGCTGTCCAGTCAGAGTAATCACTGGAATAATCACTAGAAGGAGGAAAGGAGTTAAAAAATGCACATAAAATACAATTTTTAAGACTTTTATAAAAATGAAAAGATCATAATAAAGAACAACATACATTACTTTATTACATACTTAATGAACTTAAGAATATTTCCCTAATTTTCAACTCATCTTCAGGAGTTTCTTAAAATTCTATCGGCTTTACATTAACTTCAAAAAAAAAAAAAAAGTATGGTTATAATTTTAAGTTCAAAAAATGAACTAAATTTTAATTATCTTCTATGATTTTAAGAAAAAGTGATTTCTGAGGGTTGCATACATTAAAAATATTATGGGACATAGAGGAACAAGGGATCACCTTCCTCAGTTACAGAGATAGTAGAAAGAAAGCAAGCCCTGAAGAGCACAGAAGAGACAAGGGGATTGCTTTTCTGAGAGGAGATGAGCGTTCTTGACAGCGGAAACTCCCGTGGTACAGCGCTGGTGCTCTGGTGGTAGCTAGATACTGAACTGGCAGCTTTACAGATGTATTCCCAACCAGTGGAAAGGTTCTGCTTGCAAACTTTACTTAGCATCTAAAGAAATTTCATTTGGATAAAATTATTCTACATAATTATACTTTCGGGGCATCTTATGCTTCTAAACATGCTGTGATTCAAGAAATACCAATCATGTTTATCATTTCTTTTCATATCATTTTCATAAAGAATCCAGTTGTTATTTTATTTTTGTACGTAAAAATATTTACTTATTTTGCACTGTTATAAATATGAGTACCTTAAAGGAATGTAAATTATATTAAAACCTATAGTTTCCCTAGATTTAATGATATATGACCTCTTGCCTCTAAAAATATTACTGATGATGCTAATACTCCAAGGGCAGGTTTTTCTGTCCTTCATCACTTCCCCTATGCTGCCAGTCCAAACGTTCTTTACAGATATTAATCTAACTCTCTCCAAGAAGAATTCACAGATAAAAATCAAAAAATTAAGGCCTTTTCTAGTATGATTTCAGTATAGTTAAAATGTTTTTAAAGAATTTAAATGAAAAATATTTTCAGATACTCCTTTTATTCTAAAATAGGTTCTCCTGAACTATGAAAGTTTTATTTGCACTAACCCTAGCCTATGGCCATGGTAAATAGCACCTGCCAAATCTCAGTCACCATCCTCTCAAGCACTCCCTCTCACAGGAGATACTCCACTGCCACCATAAACATAACTACAAACTCCCAAGGCCAATGTTCTTTACAATTACCTTCAACAACTGAAGCCACCACTGTTCTTTCTACTACAGTAACCCATTTTATAGTATGAATAACACCCTAATTCTACGCTAAACCAAAAGAAAGTATATTTTTCTTGCACTGCCCTGTTTTAAACACAGAAAACTACTAGACATAACTGTAGGCACTTGCATATCATTACTAGGAACCACTACTGTGAAAATAGGAAAAGCCTTGGTTCTACAGCTCATACAAAGAATTCCTACAGCGTCCATTTCATACTTTTTTGCCATGTCTGTTTTAAGAGTCCCTGGGGTGGAAAATAAGTAAAGGTCTAAACATAATTACTATCTCTAAAGGCTTTACTCTTTTCTGTTACTAAGATCTTAAAAGGTCAGCCAAGTCTATTAGCTCTGTAACAATGTGAATCACCAATAGAAAGAACTAAAGGAATCCTCACTTGAGTGGTCAAATGGAGGGAAAATAGTAACTAAAAGAAATGAGAATGACTTGGTGATTAAAAAAAAAAAAAAAAAGAATCTTTACTTTTCAAAAGATCTTATATAACATTTGGAGAAGAAAATTCATCCCCTAACCTGGAGCTGCCATCACTGTGCCACGCTCTCTCTTCTTCTTCTTCGGATGTTCCACCACTCACAGCAACCACTTCACCTTCCTAAAGAGACATTGAATACTTATTTTATTTCATAAATTTACAAGAGAACATTCTCTAAGTATAGAGAATATCAGTAACACTTTATAATACCAGTCATAGAGATATTTGTATTATGTCAGACTTAAATTAGTTGCAAAACACATTTTACAAAAAAAAGAGAATATACTTAAATGTATGTTAAAATGTAATATTAATATTGAATTCAGAGCAAATTTGCTGATGATTTAAAGTTTTAAAACTTCACAGCATCTTCTAGACAAAATATCAAATTCCATATTATTAGTTGAAATTAAATTTTATTCCTTAGGATTTTTAAAACAAATTAAGTTTCCTATAGCTGCTTTGCAAAGCTTTAAATTAGGTCCATTTATGTTTTACTTATTACAATAGCTTTACCACACAAAAAAAATCTGGTCTTATTTAATCCTAATGGTAAAGACTTAAAAAATCCACAAACACTGCTACTCTTAAGTAAATATTCATGAGACAACATAGAATGTTATTTTGGGGGGGGGGTTGTTTTTTTTTGGAGACAGAGCCTCAAGCTGTCCCCCTGGGTAGAGTGTTATGTCATCACAGCTCACAGCAACCTCCAACTCCTGGGCTCAAGTGAGTCTCCTGCCTCAGCCTCCCAAGTAGCTGGGACCACAGGT